CCTCTCCGGACACCAACCGGCCGATCGGACTCCGAAGCGCACGCGCGGAAGTGTTTTGACGCCTGCCTGCACAGCTGCGCAGGGGCATGCGCTGGGCATGCGCAGCCGCCTCCGGCTGCGGCCGCATTCGGAGTCGCTCCATTCTGACGTGCTCGGAGACGCAACTTCCGGGTCGCCCCGGGAACCGCCGTTGGGGCGGCGACGCGCGGCGTGCCCGGCGCCGCGTTCCGCGCAGGGCAGCCGGGCCGAGCGGCGCCCGGGCTGGCCAAGGACTGGCCGGGCCAGGAGCCGCGGAGCCTCGGGGGCGCCGCGGGAAGAGCCGCCCGCCGCGGGGCGCCCGGCCAGGAGGAGCGGCCGCCTTCCCGCGCCCGCCGCGCCCCTTCCCTCGGCGGGCCGTGCGGCGCTGGGCCTCCCCCCGAGCGCCCCAGGGGGCCTTGCCGCGCTCCCCCGTTGATCGCGCCCGTGTTTGGGCCGCTTGCCCTGCCCGGGAGTTCGGCTGTCGGACCCCAGAGGCCCCGGGGCAGCCTCCCCTGATCCGCTCAGCTCGGAGCCGGGAACCGGAATCTTGCTTGCACTGAGCCACGTGTGCCATTTCGGTGCCCGTTTTCCCAGTTTGGAGAGAACCCTTTGGATCTCTTCAGACCCCCCCCCCCCACTCCCGTTTTTACTAGTTTGGTGCCATTATCAAAATAGTCCCATCAGTATCTGCTCCTAATTGCCTGCAGTTTGTGAATATATTGAAAAGCATTGAACCTGATAATGGTGCCATGGCTGACATCCCTCCACTGGAAAGAAACATAGAAACACGTTTGAGCTCTTCTCGTAGAATAGTAGAGTTGGAGGGGGCCAGGAAGGCCATCAGGTCCAACCCTCTGCTGGTGCAGGACACCAATTCCTGTCCAGTCTCGCCTTGAATGTCTCCAGTGGGGGAGAGCCCCCCACCTCTCCAGGCTGCTGGTCCCACTGCCGCATTGCTATGACAGTGAGGAAGCTTTTCCTGCTATCCAGCCTGAATCTGGGTTGCCGCAGCTTGACTTGATTATTCCATGTCCTGCGCTCTGGCAACAGCAAGAAGAGGTCTTGACCTTCCTCTTTGTCGCAGCCTTTGAGCTACTTCTATAGCGATATCATGTCCCCCCTCAGTCTTCTCAAGGCTGGACATGCCCAGTTCTCTCAGTCTTTCCCCACAGGGCAGTCTTTCCAAACCCTGGGTCATTTTCTTTACCCTCCTCTGGGCCCTAATTTTCCGCATCTATTCTCACCTGGTTTTCTATTCTTTAACCAGTTACTGAGCCATTGAACTATTTTTCACCTGTATGCTTGTATTATGCCATATTTTATTGAGAATTTAATGAAAATATGAAAAGATTTTCAAATTGGTAAAGACTTTCCCTCCTCCTCGTTCTTGTGGCTCAATACCAAGACTGCATGGCAACTCGTGGCAGGCTGCTTTTCCACGTTTTGCTTAATCTGGTCAGCTGGTGGCCACGAAAGACCTTCCCAAGTGCAGACTCCTAGAGCTTAATGGGGGCAAAAGGCTGCCTGATGGCACTGTAGAGGTGTCTCTCCCCTGCTGCAAAACTACCCATCGAGCCACTGTGTGCAAGATGCCGCCTAAGACACCGAGAGTTGCGCCTCATCACGACACATCCTGAATCGGCAGTATGCGACACCGGCACATTATGACATACATGCAAGGCTGCTCCATTTGTGCTGGAACACTTCACACACAGGATTTCTCCCCACACTTCGATGAGAATTAAGCACAACTGCATGTTGTTGCTGTTTGTGCTGTCAAGTCATCACTGGGGACCTTCTCTGAATCCCCCTCCCCCCAGTGAAGTAAGGGGGCACAACCAGGGCCTTTTCTGTCAGTGCCCCACCTTGTAGAATGCTCTTCCTTTAGTGATCCGCCAGGCCCCCTTTCTCCTCTTTTACATGCCACTTGAAAACATTGCTTTTCTCTACTTTGGCGAGTGACCTTTTAATGATTTTTATATTGGTTTTATTGCTGCTACTGCCACATTATTTTACTTGTCCAACAATTTTATTTAATTTAGTTTTTCTCTATTTTAGCTAAAAAGACCTTTTAAATGGTTTTATTACCTGAATGTTCAAACTTTTATGTCTTCCTTTCATTGCTTTGCTTCCTGTTTTCTTGTGTGCTGGTCAAATGCATTGTTGTATCTGTTGCTGTATTGTGAGCTGCCCAGAGCCTTACAGCCAAGGGGTGCGGCATGCAAGTCCAATCAATAAATAAATGGAGCGATTTTTTGGTTGAGGGGGAAATTGCACAATAAAAAAGAAAGCGGGTTGTAATAGGTATAGAGTCACAATTAAACCAACAGGCCAAGTCAGAGATGGTATGTGCCATTGTCTCCCACCTCTGGCAACCCTGCAACGCAAGCCCTCCACTATGTGCTCCAGGACTGCTTGCTGTGCTCAGTGCCAGACCCTTCGTCTTCTCTCCCCAGTATGAGGGCCTCCTCCAGGGAGTGTTGCCTCAGTTTTGACACAGCTTTGGTCTGAAATCCAGAAACAGCAGGTTTCGGGAAGGACGATGTAGAAGGCGCCCACCTCCACGTAACCCCAAGAGCAGCCGTGACCGCCCACGCCTGCCGAGGCCACCCAAGCCACCGCGCCGTGGCTCCCATGTCCACCAGCCCGACGGACCTCTCCGGGAGCTAACCGGCAGCGGAGGAGCAGCACGCAGAGGGCCCGAGCGCAGCTGCCGAGGCGCCCCAGCACAGGCGGCCTGCAGCGCCGCTCTTGGGACAAGTCGCCCGCACCAGCCAGGCAGGGCGCCCCAGGCAGCATGGGGGCCCTCGCCGGTTTGCCCCTTCGCAGCTGCTCTCCCAGTGGCGACAGCCTCCCAAGGCGCTTCTGGAACTGTGGGGGAGCATGGCAGGCAAGCCTTCTCAGCTGGGGGCTGTGGTGGACAAAGTGGGGAAGCCCTAGGGACTCCACCCTAGAAGGGAAAAGCAGGAGGTGCTGTAGATCTTTATTGTCACGTACAAAAAGCAAGGAAGGCAGCCAAGTACAGTACTGAGAAACAACGGGCGAGGAAGGCCGAGGGCTGGGCCAGGCAGAAGGCAGGCGTGGCTCGGCTCGGCTCGGCTCGGCTCGGCAGGCGGCCCGGGCTGGCTGGCTGCCTTGGGACTAAGGTCCCCGGCTGCCTCCTTGTGGTCCCCAAGGCCTGTGCAGTTACACTGGAGGAGGGACGGCTGCAGCCAGCAGGGAACCTGAGCCAAAGAGCAAAGGCCTGCCAGCCTCGTGCACAGACCAAGGCATGGGGAGGACGGGCCCGCAGGAAGTCGGCAGAAGAGTCCCGGGGAGCCTGCGGCACGCTCCCCTCAGGCTGGGTCCCTGAAGCAGCGCGCCAGGCCTGCTTGAGCCAGTCTGCCCGAGGAGGGCCAGCAGCACGGCAGGCGCCCGGCAGCCTCCGAGGGGCGGTGAGTGGGTCAGCGGCAGGCCGCTTGCCTGCCCAGCTGGCCCGTGGGAGCAGTGGGCGCAGTCCCGGTGGTGGCCCGCGTGGAGCCTGGTCCCGGGCAGAGTGTCCGGCTGCGCCTCCCATCCCAGGTGTCAGGCTCTGCCCCGCGGAGCCAGCTCAGCAGTCCATGCTGTCGCTTTCGCACCAGGGCACGGGGCCGTCTGTTCCAAAGTACCTGTCCCCAAAGTTACCTGGGAAAACATGAGTCCTGCTGGTCACGGCCCGACTGATGCTGGGCAGGGCTGCTCTGGTGGGCGGCAGCCCTGTGCGGGCCAGTGCCTCTCCCCCAGGCTCAGCCCGGAGGGGCTGCCGCCGCGCCAGCCCAATGCTCGGCACTCCCCCGCCACCCCGTCTGTTCGGCCGGCCTGCCCGCCCGCCCACGGAGGGCAGCTGCGCCTCACCAATGCCAGGGATGATGTGGAACTCTTCGCTGACTCTCTTATCCACGGCCGTGGTGATGATCCGCACGCGGGGAAAGGCATAGGCCACGGAGTGGACGCCCATCTCGGCCATGAGCAGTGAGAGCAGGAAGATCTTGTCCTCTTGCACATCGTGATCCTGCGGGGCAGCCAGCGGGGCGTGCCTCAAGGGCCTGCATGCCCAGCCCCAGCCCCTCCGCACCCGGCGCCCGCCCGCCCGGCACACTGCATGGGCGGGCGGCTCAGGGCCCCAGCCCATGGCTGCCACAAGCCAAGGCCCAGACCCCTCCCCAGGGCCCAGCGTGCCCCCCCAGCCTACAGGGAAGGCCCGGACGCACCAGCAGCACCCGCACCGCCATCATGGCAGCCGCCCCTGTGGACACCGTGCTGTCCATCAGGATGACGTAGTCTTCGCCGATCTCCTTAGGCAGCCGGAGGTAGTGCAGCTGGTGGGAGGGAGAGGGGAAGGATGAAATGCTCGCGTGCCACACAAGGCAGCCCCCCACCCCCCACGGGGCCCCCTCTCCACCTCCGGCTCCCCCGTGTCATGATTGGTCTGGATGAGGATCTTGCCCAGGCGGATGTCTTTGCAGACGGCAGTGAGCGCTTGCTCCATCGTCTCGCCGGCCCGCAGGATGGAGACACCCGTGATCTGGAAGGGCGGGAAGCGCAACGGCGGGTCAGAGTGGCCCCGCAGCTGGCCCGCCCCAAGCACCGCCCGCCTGTTCCCTGGGCACCCTCTGCAGAGGGCGGCTTCCCTGCCATGGGGGCAGAGGCTGCTCCGGGCCGGTGGGTCTGCGGTCTGCGGCAGACGCTCGGTGGCCCTTGCCAGCTCCTGCCCGTCGTCCATGGGGGGCCCTTGAGCGCTGCCCCTGCAAGCCTGGAGGGAGGGGACTCACCCGCTGCCTGTGGAACCGCTTCCCCTCATACACTGTCCCCTGCGGGGTCTCCACGGTCACTGGCTGCAAAACCAAGACAGGCGGCACTGGGCTGGGACGGAGCCACGCTGCAGGACGACCACCGCCCCTCCAGGACGGGCAGCCCAGCACGCCAACCTGCGCGCTTCTGCGTGGGAGGGGGCACGTACCTTCAGGGGCAGGAAGGAGAGGGCGTGCTCGATCAGCAGGCGCATCAGGCGCTTGGAGTAGAAGATGAATTCGTCCCGGCGGGTGTCCTTGTTCCTGGGGGCAAGCGTGGCGGCACGTTCCTCAGGGCCAAGACTGCCCCCCCGCAGGGCCAGGTCTGCCCCTGGCAGCCCCCCGCCCAGCCGCCCCCCCTCGGGACAGGCAGGCCTCACCTGATGATGGTGTGCATGCCCCGCACCTGCGGGGTGCTCTCCAGGACGCTCAGGGTCTTGGGCAGCGGCTGCCCCTGGTGGGCCGAGGCCAAGGCTGCTCTGCGGGGGAGGAGGCGGGGGGTCACGGCGGGGAGGAAGTGCGTCTGCGTGCTGGTACGGGCGCAGCTCCTCTCCGGTCGCCTTCCCCCTTCGAGCCCCCACGAGGCCCGGGGCAAAGGCACTGCCACCCCCTCCCGCAAGAAGCTCCTGGAGAACCGCACGCTGGCTGCCTGGCTCGTGCCCACTGCCCCCCCCCCCACTCCCACGCGCTGGGGAGAAGCTGCAGCACTAGCAGGCCGGCAGCACGCTTGGTCTTGCTGCCCCGTGACCGGGGAGGCGGAGGCGTGCGAGCCGCGCAGGCAGAGGCCCCGTGCCTTCGCCCCAGAAGCCAGGCAGAACGCTTGCAGGCGCCCCACTCCGGGAGAGACCCTGCCCTGCTCAGAGCCGAGCGCAACACACAGGGAGTGGGAGGTGCAGCCAGGAACAGCCAACGGAGACCAAGCGTCCTCACATATGCCGGCGGAGCTTCCTCTGGTGAAGACGCCCAGCAGGCCCAGCAGAGAGACAGACAGACAGACAGAGACAGACAGAGGGCATTAGAAGGGTAGCGCTCCCCACCGGGAAGAGGGGAAATGCCCCACAGTGCCAAAGCAGGCAGAGCAGCTGGGAGGCCACGAGAAGCCACCCCCTGTCCCCCCGCCACTCCCCGGGCAGGGGCAGCCCTTCAGAAAGCCAACAGGCTCAGCGGGGCCGGGCCCAAACGACCACAAGCCAAGACCACAAGCCAAGGAGCTCGTTGCTCCGGCTGGCCCGGAGTCTCCCTCCTCTCGGACCATGCCTCAAGTCTGGGGACGTGCCCATCTGGCGGCAGTGGCGGCACATGTCCAGCATGCCCCTCCCGGCAGACGGCCCCCACCCCCCAGCTGCTCCACCACGGACTGGCCTACTGTGCAGCGAGGAAAGCTTTGGGAAGCGGGGAGGGGGCTAGCTGTGCTCCTTCAGGGCTGCCGTCATACCTGACCGTGATTTCACGCTGCGCGGTGGCAGGAGCCCACGTGGGAGGCGACCGAGTCGTGGCAGGGCAGGGCAGGGCAGGGCAGGGCAGGGCAGGGCAGGGGAAGAAGAGAGACACAGAGCAGCCTGTCACTGCACACAGCTCCCCGGCCCACTGGCCCCTGCAGCCTCCCCAGGATGGGAGCAGCAGGAGGGCAGCTGGGGCCGGGCCTGGGGCTGGCAGGCTGAAGCAGAAACCCCAGGCCGGCCGGCTCCAGGCTTGGGGAAAGGCCCGGCAGGCCGAGCCGAGGCGGCCCTTGGGCCAAGCAGTGGGGGGATGCAGAAGGGGCACGGGGCACCCGGCAGCAGTGGTGATGTTGCCCCCGCCCAGCCCCTCCTCCGCCCCCTCACCTTCTCCAACTGGCTGTGTACATGCTGCACGATCAAGTCCAGAGCCACAAAGTTCTCCCCACCTGGAAAAGAAGCCGAGGGGGGCTGGAGGTGCGCCAGTGGCAAAGGCCTGCCCACTCCCACGCACCGCTGGAGGTGGGACCGGCCGTCGCGGTGCACCCTGTGGGAGGGAGGCAAGGCAAGAGGCGGGCACCACCGTGAAGGCGAGGCGGGCTCCACGGCAGGCGCCACGCACCCCACGCCGATCGCCCCACCTCGGGGCGCTCCCTGCCACCGCCACCTTCCCCCAGCAGAGGGCCCCGGCCAGGTGCTTCCCCTCCTGGCCATCAGCCAGCGCTGCTGTGCCCCCCACGGGCGCTTCTGCCGCTCGGTATTCGCACACACTCGGCCCCACATCTTGGTATCCAGAGAAGCGCTTGCGGAGTAACGCAGGGATGGGCACCTCTCCTCCCCAAACAGCCAGGGCCCCTTCCTCACCCGCCCCGGCCCCGGCCCCGGCCCCAACACCGGGGCGGCTTTCGCCGTGGTCTTCGTCTGCATCCCAAGGGATGTTCTGCCCCAACTGCTGCGCTCAGGAGGCTGCGCTGCGCACGCGAACGGCTGTGCCCGCAGCGGACTAGTGCCTGTGAGCGGGGGGGGGGGGGGTGCCCTGCCCGCCGGAGTCTTGGCCTCACCCACCCTCGGTGGAGACACGCTTGCTTCTGGCGGCCGCATCTCGGAGATGAGGGAGCGTGGCCCCAGAGGCCCCGCCCTCCTCGCCCCTGGCGCCCACGTATCGCGCCGCCAGCGTTCAGAGCACTCTCCAGCCCCGGGGTGCATTTTGACCCATCGGCTGCCAAGCCGGCACGGAACGGGGAGCCCAGAGGAGGGAGGCGCCACCTCTGCGGAGCCGCACCTGCAGGCCCGGCGAGCGCTCTGTGCCTCACAGCGCAGTGCTGACTGGCCCCGAGATGTGCAAGCCAGCCCTGGACTCCTCAGGCAGGGCGGGGCAAGAGCTTGATCGAGAGGACCCAGGCCTGCCCCTGCCCTTCCCCTCCTCACCTCGGGGCACCACAATGTCCGCGGCCTGCACAGCCGGCTCAATGTATTGCTCAAAGGCAGGCTTCACAAACTTGCTGTACTGCTTGATGACACCGGCCACATCCCGGCCACGCTCCATGATGTCCCGCTTCAGCCGCCGGACCAGCCGGATGTCTGAGTCTGTGTCCACAAACACCTTCATGTCCAGGAGCTGGAGGAGGCACAGGCAAAGCGCTCTGGACAACGCCCTGCCCAACTCCTGCGCAGGGCCTTGGGGCGGCCGGCTCCGCGTGGCTCCCAGGACGGAGCGGCATCCGTGCTCCAAGCCCTCCAGGGGCCTTGCAGCCAAGCTCTGCTCCCCACTCAAGGCTGCCGCCCTCTGCCCAGCCCAGTACCTGCAGGAGCTCCTTGTTGGCAAAGGCCAGGATCCCCTCAAACACAATCACGTTGGCCCCATAAACGGTCTTCTGCGGAGGAAGAGGGAGAATGTGCCAGGCCCGGCCAGGGAGGCGGGGCCAGAGGCCGCTTTCCTCCCGCTGTGCAGGGCAACTGCCGGCCCACCTGCCAGGAGCCCCCACTAACCCTGCCCCCATTCACAGACCAAGCGCTTCCTCACTTGGCAGAAGGAAAAGCAGCCTCTCGCCAGGACAGCCCTGCGAGGCACTTATGGAAGCAGGACAGCAGCAGCGTCTCAAAGCCCCAGCTTTCCCTTTAACAGGAAAGGGTCATGCTTCCGTTTTTTAAAAAATCTCAGACTGGAGAGCCTCTGCTAACAATTACAAAACAAACACTGAGAATGTCTTCACCTTGCAGGTCACAGACAGGTGTGCCCCTGCCCTCAGACCAGAGCACCTGCTCCAACCAGGAGAGGTGGGGAACCTTTCCTGGCCCAAGGCACCCCACTGGCTTCTGGGGAGCACCCGGAGGACAATGCCTCAGTCTAGGCGCAGCCGAGCCTGGCTTCGTGGCACAGTCTGTCCTCCTCCCCCCTCCCTCACCCGGAAAGGGAGCGAGCGTCCCAGTGGAATGGCGATGGCTTTGCTTCCCCATGTCTACTTCCCAGACGTCTGCCGCTTTTTCACGCAACAGGAAGAAGGAAAGACTATCCCGTCCATCTTGGGGACAACCGGCAGCAACTGCCTTGAGAGAAGGGCTCTGATGAGTTATGAGTCCATAGAATGTTGGTGTGATTTTGTTTCAGTATTTTTGTGGCATGTGCTAAATCGTTCTGCTGGAATATGTATTCCTAAAAGGAGGACGTACGTGACTACAGCGAGTCAGCCAAAGGGCCTGAAAGCACCTTCGGTGGCTTGCCAAGCACCACGCGGGCTCCAGGAAAGCATGTGGGGTGAAGGGGAGGGGAGCCTTTGGGAAGAACCCTGACCAAGCTCCCGAAGCAAGAGAATGTTTCCGGGAATAAGACAAGCATTTTGCAGCTGGAGCCAAGCAGGGCACCCACTGCGTTCCAGCACTTCCTTCACCGAATGAGAATTTAATCAAGTCACTGCAGAGAAATACAGCAGGCGCAGTACAAAGGGTGAAGCCAAGGGTGGTAGCAACTGACAAAGGTTACTTGTGTTCAGGGTTAAAACAAACCTAAACAACTCTACTTCGTGATGACAAGACCCAAATATTTTTTCCCACGAACTGTACAATGGATATTCAAATGATAGCCATTTGCTGCTGATGCTGCATTCAATGGGGCCGGAACGATACCCTCTAGCCTGCCTCCCTGGCTTGGATCCTGTGCAATCATGCAAGTCCTTCCAGTCACAGAGCATGGGTCCAACTACGACAGACCTCAGGAGACCACCTGACCTCAAGGACAGCAGCTGCTTTGGCTTCAGAGAAAGACCTACAAACGGGAGAGGGGGGCACATTTCCCTCCTACAAGGCCAATCTCAACATACCCACTCCTTGCGCCGGCTGTGCGTGGTAAAGTCATACACAGGAACTTTAACGCTCTTGCCCTCTTTGAGTTTCCGTAGCACACTAATCAGCAGGTCAAAGTCAAAGGCATCAGGGTGGTCAAAGTTGTATTCGTTGCATGCTGCCTGGCACTGCTGCTCCTTGTTCAGCACCTGGAGAGCATCGGGGCATGTGGAAAGGGAGAGGAAAACAGACTGGCAAAGGGCTCTTCCAGACACAAGGCGGAGTTCAGCGCCTCCTCTTTCCTTCTGGGCCCCTGAGAGAATGGCTGAGCCCAGGGTTGCGTCGGGATATCGTAGGCCTGCGCACCTTATAGAAGCTGTCCATGGAGAGCAACACCACCCAAGGCACGTCCAGAGCTTCAATGATCTTGTTGGCCACTGTAGTCTTGCCAGATGCGCTTCCGCCACACAAGCCTGGGAAGAGAGAGGGAGCGCTGCAATGCAGCTTATTCATTTGACCCCGGACCCTGCTATCAAGGGAAGGGGAGTGGCCCCACAATCAAGTGCCAAGGGTAGGAGTAATGGTGGTAACTACCGGGGAAAACTCAGGACGGGCCATTCCAACCCTCTGGTAGCGCAAGAGTGCCCTGGGCCAGAGATGAAGGACGGTGAACAAAGGGGTGAGGGAAAGCAGAACGGGCTAGGGAGAGCGGGTTCCTGTCTCCTCGCAAGAGCCCCGAGTGTCCTCCCGCCCCGCCGGGCAGGGGCAGCAGGCGCCCGTGCCCCCTCCTGGCTGCCGGGTGGCAGCCGCAGCCGCAGCCCAGCGAGCCTCCCAGGAGCCTGGCAACCCGCGCGGGAGGCGCGCACCCAGGGGAGGGCAGCGGGGCGGGAGAGCCCAGCCCCGCTCTCGCTCCTGCCCCGCAGGAGGCAGGGCCCGGCCCGGCCCGGCGCGCTGCCCTCACCGATGACGAAGGCCTCCTTGAAGGGGGTGCCCGTCTCGTTGTACCAGGGCGGCCGCCCGGCCGTGTAGATGGTGCGCTTGCTCGTCCTCAGCAGCGGCGGTTCTGCCCGGGACTGGCTGGTGGTCCTTCGCCGCGGGAACGCGTGTTGGGGAGGGGAGACGGGTCAGCTCTCGCCCCAGGCGCCCCGCCGCGCGCCCCGGCGCCTCTCGCCGCAGCCAGGGCTCGACTCCAGTCGTGCCTCTGCGCACACGCAGAGCGCCACGTCGCCCGCTGCGGGGCGGGGAGCGGCCCCGGCTCGCAAGGATCGGGCCCCGGACTCGTCCCGCCCGCGCGGAGTCCTCACCGGCCCCGCCGTGCCAGCGGAGGCGCTGCCCCGTCCGCAGCAGCGCCGCCCGGAGCCGCCATCTTGCTCGCGCTCCCGCCACCCCTCTGCCGCAGCCGCGCGGCCTGCCGGGACGCCGCGCAGGATAGGCGGGCGGCTCGGAGCGCGCGGCG